TTACCCTTAGGAGAACTATGGAGAAAAGCCCTAACCCCATAGTTCTCCTTTAATGCAGTTTTGTGTCAAGAGGGTAAAGCATCCCAAAACTCAAACACTTCTCAGGCAATTTCTTCTGATGCCTTATGATGCTTGCTGTGAGCTTTGTATTGGTGGTGGGTGAGATCACACAGCAATGGTCTCACTCTGAGCAGGCGGATGAAGTCTTCCAAATACAGAATTTTGTGGCACCTTGGAAGTCTGTGTAGAATAGACGTTGAGGGGGAGGAGCTGTTATGCATCCCAAAAAAAATATGCTCAAAACACATGTTAATGTGCATTTGATATGGCTCCATTAAAGGTTATGAGGTAAAAATTGCACCAAGTCACACAAAAAGGACATGCAGCATTTTCAAAAGCATACTAAAGGCAAACGCATAGATGTGTGTAATCGCCAACAGAAAACACGAGATTCCTCTTGTCCTACGATGCTCTTGATTCTCCTACAAAAATCCATAATATCCAATGCTGTGCTCTCCCTTGTATTCTGCAGGGCCGGGCTGTCAGTTAAATTGCTCAGCCTCACACAGTGCAGAAGACAATGTGTAGCCAACAGAGGCTCCCAGCCTAAGACCTCATTCACGCCTGGATATTCGCTCTGTTCCTGCAGCTGGAATCACAGCCTGTACAAAGCAATGACAGAAGCCACAGCGGTCCACTACTATCCGCACATCCAGCAGATACCTGTTACATGGTTAGTCAGGTTGAAAAAAGTTTGAGTTGAACCTGTGGCTAGAGACAGCTGACCGACCCTAGACACAATCTGTCTGTGGGCCCGTTGACACCATCCCATGCGTTCATGTCACAGTTCCGTGACATGAACACACTGGACCGCATAATCAAAACCTTCCCTGCATTTCTGGGGAAGGAGAGGGCAAGGCGGTGCCATTCATTTCAATAGCACCGCAGACACACCTTCCACCCGCAGTGTGATTGCCCACACGGAACTGTGACATTAAGGTACTGGATGGTATGAACGGGCCCTGAAGGTTGGACATCTGTCCTTAGACACTGGATATGGAGATGCATGCAAATAGCAGCATCTTTCAGCCTGTCATTGCTTTGTACAGGCTGAGCGGTCGCAAACCACCTGCGATTTCAGCCACAGGAATCCGCTGATTCTTCCTTCAGGAATCCTCTCGTTGAGCAAATATCCAACTGAGAATGAGGCCTGACTGTGACCTCCTCTACCCATCACATTGCCTGAGTCTTTTGCCTCTTTCTCATCCCAACCCAGGTTTTCTGGGCAGCATGAGCAGCTGTATTAAGAGACATGTTGACTTTTACATATAAAAGTGCAAGATGACTGGCTGTTTAGATCCAGCGGCTGCAGTACCTCCTGTGCCCGACTCAACAAGCATTAAAGGAGAACTATGAGATGAGTGCTTTTCACTCACCTCATAGTTCTAGCCGACCTGTGACAATGAGACTGTCACAGGTCGGCTCAGTAGATCGGGAGGTGAGCGAACACATACCGGCGTTCGCTCACTTCTCGATCCTGTCACAGCTCTCTGCCGTGACAGGGGAGGGGCTGGATTCCCTCCTCCCCGCTCCTCCAGCGCTGACTGGCGGAACGGACGGGGGAGGGAGCGGGTACAGCTGGCTCTGCCGGGAGGACGCTAGTTTGTGTCCTCCCGTTACCCTAAGGAGAACTATGGGGAAAAGCCCTAACTGGATTCCCCTCTCCGATCTGCAAGCGCTGACCGGCGGAACGGACGGGGGAGGGGGCAGGTACAGCTGGCTCTGCCGGGAGGACGCTAGTTTGTGTCCTCCCGTTACCCTAAGGAGAACTATGGGGTCAGTGTTTTTCCCCATAGTTCTCCTTAGGGTAACGGGAGGACACAAACTAGCGTCCTCCCGTTACCCTAAGGAGAACTATGGGGTCAGTGTTTTTCCCCATAGTTCTCCTTAGGGTAACGGGAGGACACAAACTAGCGTCCTCCCGTTACCCTAAGGAGAACTATGGGGTCAGTGTTTTTCCCCATAGTTCTCCTTAGGGTAACGGGAGGACACAAACTAGCGTCCTCCCGTTACCCTAAGGAGAACTATGGGGTCAGTGTTTTTCCCCATAGTTCTCCTTAGGGTAACGGGAGGACACAAACTAGCGTCCTCCCGTTACCCTAAGGAGAACTATGGGGTCAGTGTTTTTCCCCATAGTTCTCCTTAGGGTAACGGGAGGACACAAACTAGCGTCCTCCCGTTACCCTAAGGAGAACTATGGGGTCAGTGTTTTTCCCCATAGTTCTCCTTAGGGTAACGGGAGGACACAAACTAGCGTCCTCCCGTTACCCTAAGGAGAACTATGGGGTCAGTGTTTTTCCCCATAGTTCTCCTTAGGGTAACGGGAGGACACAAACTAGCGTCCTCCCGTTACCCTAAGGAGAACTATGGGGTCAGTGTTTTTCCCCATAGTTCTCCTTAGGGTAACGGGAGGACACAAACTAGCGTCCTCCCGTTACCCTAAGGAGAACTATGGGGAAAAACACTGACCCCATAGTTCTCCTTTAAGATAAAGTCTCCTGACTTCACTGATGTAGTCAGCATTTAACCATTCCATTACATTGTAACTACATAAGCACGCAGATGAAATGTGGAGACATATTCATGATGATGTGTTAAGAGCACATGAACAGAAGACATGTCATGTAATTGTACTGTGCATATGGTTGAAGATTTTGAGCCTGCATTTACAATCCTGTGACAAGGAGCTTAAAATCATCTAAGGACATAGACAAATTATGAAGACCAGAAGCAGAACAATGGGGATTGATTAAGAGAGTATGACTCTTGGTGGTAAGATTACTTGATTAACACTTCAATCCCATCATATTTAAAGCAGCACAGAAATTAAAGCATTATTCTATTCAGTGTATAACCAGAGCAACAAATCTTCAAGTGGGAAAAAAGAAAAGGAAAATATTTAAAGAATTGTGTACTTGTAAGATCAGCCAATGTGGCTTCCCTCAAGTGTGTAGTGGCTGCTCATGTTGACATCATGTCTGATGAGCTGCATTTATCTGCACACTACCGCACATGTGTGGTGCAAACAAAGCACATAGAAGACAAATTGTACTTATGGGCCCTGTTCACACCATAAAAGTTCAGGGTGATGTGCAGGAAAACACAGCTCAAATGGACACTGTGTGAACAAGCCCTTTGGTTTGTACCTGCCAAATACAGACAGAACCTCACAACTTAATGCGCGAACCATAACACAGGCACAAAACAAGTAACGGTATCTAACAAAAGTAATTAATAAAATGAGACCCAATCACAGTATAGTATAGAAGCAGCAAAGTAGAAAAACTCTATCCCTCAGTTTAGGGAACAGGGTTGAGAAGCGTTAGATTTTCCATCACTTCCTGTTCCAGTTATGCTTGTATAAGAAATGGGGCGTCACAGATCAGCAGCAAAGCTGTTCTGCTCTTTGTGCATCTATCAAGTTCTCTGCTCTTACCTTGCTCCTGCACAAGCTGTAGGCGTTACCGGGATTCACCCGATGATTGTTATAGCAGCTTCTCAGGCAATCACCTCACTGCCTATAAATCTACCTCTCTATTTAAACTGTGCTGTCACTACCTTCTTGGCCTTAGTAATAGGGTCCCTTCCTAGGTACAGTGACCGGTTCTAGGTTCTACATCCTGTGCATTCCCATGATCCCAGTGTCTCCCGCACTTCTGTTCCTTCAGAGATGGTGACCTCTGTGTATGCGACTGACTCCAGAGGCAGGAAAGTCAGGAAATCACCAGCACTCAGTAGTAAAGATAAATATGCTCCTTTTTTTGGACAGAAAGCATCACAGACATCCAAATAAACCACTCCAGAGGCATTCATTGTCACCCAAGTGCATTCTTCCTTATCCAGTGCTCCAGTTCCTGTCTCTTTGTTTATCAACTTCAGCTTAGTTTCTTACCACACGTTTCCACTGCCTGCCATGGCCTCCAGCCTGTCCCCCTTGTAAGCTTGTGTTTTAAATTTGGACTTCACTCCAGTTCTTATACTGGTCAGTGTCCAAGGTCAGTGACATGGGTGTGTCTGGGCACTGCAACCTGAGAGTAGAAACAATATAAGCAACATTGTGGTAAGAGAAACAGCAGTGCAAAAACCGATTGACAAAAAACTGCATGCAGTCCAGGGATACCATGAGGCCATGAAAGCACACCCCAGGACATCAGTTAGATTTCACCTACAGCATCACTTTCTAAATTTGGTACTGCAGGGCTTCTAAACGTTTTAAAGAAAGGGCCAGTTCACAGGTACTTACCGATACTTTTTCTTAAAGAGACATGTGAAATTTTTTCTAAAACAATGCAGACTAATGATTTTAGGGCAGTTGCTTTAGAATCATGAATAACTAACTAAATCCATGATTATGCTTGTTCTGATACAAAAATAAAATTTGAACCAAAACCATATTTGACTGTGATAAGAAGTGCTTCTCATTGGTCAGCACGGTAACCTGATGGAATTGAAGAACATGTGCTCGCAATTACAGAGTGAAGTTCAAAATCCATAGTGCAAGGCTGCACTGGATGGCAGTATGAGGTACAGACAGTACACCTGTACTATCAGAACGATGAAGGGGTTGTGCCCCAGAAACGCGTAAACCTTTGACTACACAGGGGCAGTGGACGCTGAAACTACATATTCTTTCAGACTTCTGCTGCTAGGTGATTTGATATCCTATGGATTACTATATGCCTATTTACTACCAACTTCTTGTAAGTATAATACAAGCTGTGCTTTTTATCATTAAATTTCGTTTTTACACTATGGAGGCGCCCTTTTTCGTTCTTTGTTTCTCAGATTGACGGTCTCCATAGACTTGTGGGAGCTGCCTCTACAGTGTGTCCATTATCATTTCAACTGCCCGTTTCACAGGTGGAGGCGCCGGTATTGTTTTTTTCGTTTGATTCTCCAATATGGAGTTTATATGGTTGAGGATTAAAAATATATATACACATGTGCAAAAAAAAGTTTACCTCTTACAGTAGCCAGGTAGTAGTCCCACTGATGAGCCAGTCTCTGCCAGGTAAATCACCACACATCGATATATCAAATGTACTGAGTCAATTTATTTAGTAGATGATGCACGCACACTTTTCATGCCTGGGACCTCAATTCTTATGTGGTTCAACAGGACTTAATCATAGAGATAGCAAATGCCCCTGTGTCCGTAGGAGGAATGGTGCCCCAGCCTTAGCAGCCACAGCGGTTAGTGGAAAGAATGGTGTATATAATAGGAATGGACTTCTTGGAGGACTTGCTGGGGATTCAATTTGGCGCAAGGTACTATTTTGGCTATAACGTGCAAAAAGTGGTTTCTAATTTAGTTTCTCAGTCTGAAGAAGGCCTGGAGATTAGTATTTGCATTTAGTTCACAAGCTCCTCCCCAACTTTACTGTGAGACATAATTTGAGTTAAAGGCAGACTGAAGTCATTTGGTTTATTTTTTGTCAGGAAGCCAGCTGCTCTGCAGCCTCTTCCTCCCTTTGCTTCAGCAGTCTAAAGGTGCCCATACACTGTACGAGAATCGAATCGCGGGAAATCCCACGATCGTATGATAATCGCAAAGTGTATGGAAGGCGTGCGACCGTTTCTACTGTACGGTCGCACGTCTTCCGTCGAACAAGCAGGTTTGAAAACCCGGGTTAGTGGCCTGCTTGTTCGACAACTGCCGAACGGGCCGGTGTGCGCACACTGCCCGTTTGCAGTCATCGGAAGCCCGCCCCTCGTTGCAGCCTCAGGGGGGTGGGCTTGCGATGATCGCAAGTAGGATCTGCCTGTCCAAGATGGACAGATCGTACAAGCTTTTAATAAGCTTACGCCCATCGCAAGACAAACGTCTTGCGATGGTCGTAAGGTGTATGGGCACCTTAAGGCGTGCACACATCAAGTACAATGCAGGCTCCAAAGCCTTGCATTGTACATGGAAACACAGGGGCATAGTCCACAGATGGAGTGGGAGAAGAGGAGAGCACTGATGCCCAGATGAGCAGGGATCAAGTAAGAAAAACCGCTTGTTCCTGTCCCTAAGGCATAAGTAAGCAGTTAACCCTTGCACTGCATGGGTCAGCTCCACTGCAAAGGAAAACCTTTCCCTGGAGATGGGCTTTTAATTGTGGTTCATTTATTCTCCATTGATATCAACAGCCTCAACCCTTGGGCCTCATTTGTAACTAGTATCACCCCCTTGTAGCATTGTCTGACCAGGAGACTTCAAATATGCATAATGATGTGAAGGGATTGTGTGGGGACAAAATATGGTCAGTAGGCAGGGCCGGCGCTACCACATAGGCAACACAAGTGGCCGCTTGAGGGCGCTGGTGGGGGGAGGGCGGAAAAACAGCACCTCCCTCACATACACAGGAGCAGCACAATCGACAGGCTCTGATCTTCAGTTTCCTATAGTCAGAGCCCCGCCCCCAGCTCCCTCTGCTCTCTCCTAAGCTTGCTGCTCCTGTTCGTGCACTGTCCCGCCTGAGATATTAACATATGAATGGGCCGTGGCAATTTGCATATCAATAAGGCGCAACCCATTCATATGTAAAAATTGCGGATCATTCATATGCAAAGCACCGCCCCTGCCCCGCTGATAAGGAAGAGAATACTGCAGGGCCGGATTTACTCTCCCTGCTGCCCCAAGGCCAGATTCCACAATGCGCGTCCCTCTTCTCACCCATCAATGGAGAATGGCAGGGGCAGCAGGGTTAGTTTTAATATTTTTTTTTTTTCCTTCATCACTTTAATTTTTTTTTATCTTTATCTTATCGTTTACTTTTTTTAAAAACATTTTTATCTTATTGTTTATAATTATTTTCTAATTTTTTTAATCACCTTTTTATTTATTTCTTATTATTTTGTACTAATTTGTTGATTTATATTTATTTATTTTTAAAATTTAATTTTTTTCACTTAACTTAATTGCTATCACACCGGAGCTAACAACCCCTGTGCGATAGCATTTGGAGGTGACAGGTTCTCTTTACTGACCCGGTCACCTCCAGGACAGGAGTTCTAGCACAGCACTGTGCTGGAATTCCTGTGACAGGTGAGAGAGGAAGAGCACAGCTCTCCCCTCTCGCTGTATACACGGAGCGGCCGAGTTACTTTGAACTCTGCCTCTCTGTTCACCACAACGGCAGCCATTCCGAAAGCAGGGCTAAATGTAGCAATTAACTTTCCGCCCGGCCCCTGGAACTGCATGTTCCGGGCGTCGGGGGATTCAACATTGCTGCCGCCCCGAGGCCGGGCCTCGGTGGCCTTGTGGGGAACCCGGGCCTGTGTATGGCGTATATCTATGTTACATTGGCGGTCAGTGTGAATACTTTCGTTACATTGGCGGTCAGTGTGAAAACGAATTGGTTTGACCTGTAACATGGATATCACAGATCTCCTATTAGTTTTGGAGGATGCCAGGGGGCGCTGGTGGAAAAATGCACCTTCGCTTGAGTAGGCAAAAATCCTTGCACCGGCCCTGGGAGTAGGCATTGTGTGCATGTTAAAAATGAGCATGCAAGTGTGGGTGAGTTGACATAACACCAAGAAGGCAAGACATGAGCAATGATCTAACATTTAAGACCATCTTCTCAGGAGTGGACATCCCAGCAAATTTACCCCAAGATAAGAACGTACAATGCTCAGAGAAGTTGCAGAAAACCCTAATTTTACATCTGAGACTCTGCAGGCCTCAGTTAGCATGTTAAAGTGCATGGCAATACAATTAAAAAAAAGATTAACAAGTATTGTTTGTTTGTTTGGAAGGGGTGCAAGGAGAAAGCCTCTTCTCTCCTTTTTTTACACGACTGTAAAGCCACAAAAAAAAAAAATGTTATTAGAACTAAAAGAACAGGATAACAAGATATTTTCTGATAGAAAAGACCGTTTAATAAAATGGTGGCAGTTGCAAATTTTTACATTGCACAATATTAGCGCAACTCTTCATCAAATCCAAAAATTCAGTAAAATATGCACTTGTTAATTTTAGTGTCCAAAAACAAGTACATAGATACCCATGTGATAGCATATTAGTGGTGACAGGTTCTCGTTAACATTAGGGGCCTATTAGTCATGTTTGCACTCCAAATAAGCTATTGGAGCATAGATCGCGCTCCAATAGCTTATTGCTCAGCTTCTGCAGCCGAACAATGACAGATAAGGGAAGTGATGCAAACACAATTGCTTTCGGTCACAAAGTGGGGAGATCAGCGAATGTATGTTCAGCAGTATCCTTCCCCGCTTGCCGCAGACACCTGCCATGCCGGGGCAGTGGAGCCTGGAAAGCAAGGTAAGGGTGTTGGGGGGTGGGACCAAGTGCACTGACCTGTGGAAGCGATCTGGCAGCAGCTCAGCTGCCAGAACCGCTTCCAGTGTAAGGCAAATAGTCGGATTTACACATGTAAGCAGAGAGTCCCGGGAACAGCCGCCGGGAGTCTGTTTAAAGGGGCCCTGCTGCCAGTGACTTATGAGATGTTGGTGGCAGCGAAAGGGTTAAAGTATATGTAAATCTAAAAATAGGATTTTTGTACTCACCGTAAAATCCTTTTCTCTGCGTTCATTGAAGGACACAGTGGAGAGCTTGAATCTCTAAACCAATGGGTATAGCGCCACCTTCAGGAGGACACTAGGCACACAAAAAAAAGCACAGCTGTGGCCAGACCCCCTAACAGTTAGAGGCAACTCAGTCACAAAGCAGTACAAGGCAGAACATAGTACAAGCCCCGGACACAGCATAACAACCAGAGGGCCACTGTGTCCTTCAATGAACGCAGAGAAAAGGATTTTACTGTGAGTACAACAATCCTATTTTCACTTTCCCTCATTGAAGGACACAGTGGAGATCTTGAATCTCTTAACCAATGGAATGTCCCAAAGCAATGACTATTGAGGCACAGAAAAATGAAAAAAACTCAGTCAAGGTGGGGAAATAAATTTTGCCTGAAAGTGCCCAAGAGCAGTCAAAAGACATGCAACCCCCACCCAAAAGAAAGGGTACATGATAGATCAAAAAATCTGAGCTAAACAAAGCCCTTGGCCCAGGAGGCCAAAGGAATCAGACTACAGTCCGAAGGAAAAAAGACTAAAGAACCAAAAACACAACCACTCTAAAAGACAGAGGAATGGAAGCTGGACAGAGATCAAGAGGGCCACACCCTGCCAATACTGGAAAAAAAAACATGCAGGACATGAGCTCACTTGTGGCCTTCCCACCATGGCCCTCCAAGGTAGGGCCAGAAGGAAAACGACACAGGACAAGCCTGCCCATACAGCAACATGCGTAGCAGAGATGCAGGCACCAGGAAAACCATCGCAAAAGGAAAAAACAAAAAACAAAGCTAGGGAATTGGGAGTAGAGACGCCCATGCCATCAGTCCCTCGAGGGTGCTCACGACCAATTACAAAAAAGGTCAAGAATCCCCCCCACAGCATGTGTAAAAGGGAAGCCCCCTTTCCTCACACCAAGCAATGTAAAGCATCCAGCCATGACGACAGAAACCTCAGAATAGGCATCTTAACTCCCAGCAGCAAGGAAACGCCAAAACAGAAAGCTCCTGTCTCGTGATGCTCAGAACCACAGCCATGCTGTAAAGGCAGCAAGTGTGCAGCCAATGGCAAAAAGGTACTGCCAACGAAGACAAAGTCAGAATACCCATCAAACAGTCACAAAAGCCAGATCAAGGCAAAAAAGGACCTCACCGCCTGGGACAGCCAGAAGGTAAGAAACCCCAGAATACTTCACATCGTGCACCAGTGGAGTTGATAGAAAAAAAACAGGCTAGATGTACTGACCCCATGAAGCCACAAAGCATTATAGCTACCTCTCAGAGATACTGCAATAGGAAACAAAAATAACCAGGCCATCCTGATCCTGGACACAGAAAAATCAAGCCATGTATAGATCCAGTATGCACTTTAGTTTTTAGCGCTGCACAATTTACACTTTATCTATAGATCCAGGATTGCCGAATACTAGGCCTGGGACACAATCTTGCCGGGGAAAATGCCCTTCCACCGGATCAAGGCAATGCCAGCGCAAGTGTACAGCCCACCACAGCCGAAACCCGACAGAAAACAGAGGGCAGAGTCGGACCGAGCAGTTCTGCCCCCGCAACAGAACATCCATACCAGTGGAAAAAGCAAGATACTGAGACAACATGTATATTGGACATGCCCAAAGATCTAAAAACACAAACTGGGAGTGGAGGCACCCCTGTTGACAGACCCCCTGGACCAGCAGGGTGACAGTACTGCGTGACAATCCCAGACAGCAAAAAGAACCAGAAAAAAAAGGACATAAAGTGCCCAAGACCGCAGACCAGGGACAGAAGCAACTGCTCAAAAAACAGTCCCAACACATACTGTACAAGAAGAAAGTGGGCCCGAGGGCAAACAAGGTAATGGGACTACCCTGAATGGAAGCCACCCCAGCCGGAGACACCAAACAGAATGATGAGAATGCAAAGTCCAGGATGCGTTTCGTCACACGAGTTCCTCTGGGCAAGGTCATTATACTTGGGATAGCAGAGCGCTGAGGTCGGGAGAGACTGGTGTCCGTGCACTGATACTAAAATGAGTTTTTACAGGTGAACATTTGTTTATGCGTTCGAAAAAGTGCACTTTTAAATGTATTGCACGATAATTTAAAAAATATATATATTTTTGGAGCTTAGAGCTGGACTTCTACTATATATTGGTCTGGCAGTCTTAAAAAGTGGTCTTGCTTTCTGGTGAGTGTAGATCTTTATACACAGATACAGATTTTCTTTCTGCATAGTGGTTACTAGACACTTAGGCATTTATTTGGTGTTATTCATCTTAAGTAATAGATAAAGAGTGCATCTTTCTTTTCCTCTGCACTCAGTGGAACAGACACTTGTAATATTCACTGCTCAATTTTATTATATATCATTTTCATGTTTTGATAGTTTCAGATTGGTTATTTTTGGATCACTGCTGTCACGCATTTTGGAGTTAGAGGTTGATTTGCAGCACAGTGCATATAATTATCTAAATAACACAACATGTCTAGTACTGAAGCAAGCACCGAGTCCAAGCCAAAACTAATGATCATTTGTGTTGGGAGCCACGATGCCTTAGTGTTTGGAGAAAAATGACAAGTTCTTGGAATAAGGAGACACACAAACACGAGCCCCCCACATAACCATAAGCCTCAGGCACTGCTGAAGCACTCCAGAAAGAAGAGGCAGAACTACCGGGATCCAACAGGGACACCTGGACCCAAGAATAGTTCAGAAGCCCATTGAGATTGTAAGCTCACACCGGTAGGACCTCAGTTACCACCTTGTCATGGCTTGTAAGTAGCAGCAAAGTCTGCCAGAGACAGGAAGTGCATGGCAAACTGCAGGAACCATATAAACCTCTCTTAAGAAGTATAGTCCAAGAGTGGAAGAACCACCCTTGGAAAATAAAAATTTAGAACAGGGCGGACACCAAACCAACTCAAAACAAGTGCAGGACATTATTATTATTATTCAGGATTTAAATAAAGCCAACAGTTTGCGTAGCACTTTACAATACAAGGAAGACATTACAAATACAATTCGAGACAAGATGGTAAGGAGGGCCCTACCCCTGAGGGCTTACAATCTAAAATATACTCCAATGATCCTAAAAGTACAGCACGGAGGCCTGCTGTGTGAAGATGCAAGGAGGAGGGGCGAAGATCAGAAACACCAAAGTCTTGCCACCCCAAAGAACTACAACCCATTAAGAATGGAGAGAAGTAGTCCCATCCAAGCACCGGGTAACATGGAAGACTGGGCAGCAGGCAGACAGGAGGTCCGTGGCATCAGGAGATGTAGGTCACAAGCCTCATCCTCAATCACCTAACAGCCTAAACCCAAGAGTAATTGCACCATTTCCGTCCCCGTATTACAGAGGGAACTGAGGCTAGTAGGGGCAGCAGCCCTAATTGATAGGACGGCCGTAGCTTTCAGAGTTGGAGGCCGCAGCTTCAATTACATGGTTGCCCGAACACAGGAGAAGCTGCTGAACTTCCACTCCTGCAGCACATAGAAACGCTGTGGGAAATGCCCCATTACCGCCTCCAAAGCAGCAACAGAACCAAGGCCAGTAAGGGCAGCAGCCCAAAATGATACAACGGCCACAGCTAGCGAAGATCTAGGCCGCAAGCGGTGGCATCAATTACCTGGCCACGAGAGCAGGCGCCGACCTAAGCATGGTCTGAACCGATTCCAGAAAGGGCAGCGGCCAGAAGTGACGATGTCCACGGCTTCTGCCTCCGCACACCTAACTAGCCTCACTGTGGAAAACTGTACCTGTGGAAAGGGACCGGCCGACTGCTGCACCTGGAGCAAGGGCAGAAGGTAGGGCAGGAGCTCTAGAAGACAGGGATGCCTCAGGTTCTGGCAGCGCAGACCACGAGCTGCAGCCAATAGCCTGACCGGTAGGGACTGCCGTCCGAAGCACAGGCAGGACTTACACTAGTAAGAGCAGCAGCCCTGAGTGACATTTTGGCCGCAGTCACTACTACCATAGGCCAGAAACCGTGACCTCAATTACCAGAACGGCCGACCGCAGACACCAGCACCCACAGTCAGAACAGCTGTCCTTAACATTTAATTCCGCATTTAAAGCTCTACTGGGCACTACCCAGGAGCTGGTGTCCCGTCGCTAACAAGAGGACCCCCATGTGACTCTCCAACAATCTATCATACACTTACCACCCAGGAGAAAAGGAGAAACCGATATGCCATGGGAGCCTCCAGAGACAAAGCAGACCTCCAGCTGTAGTTAGGGGACTGCTCACTCACCAGGAACAAACAGTTACTGCCAGGCCACATGTCTCCCATTAATGGCGTACAGCACCTCACGCGCACATATTAACTGGGAGCAGAGCGGAAAAGTGGTACCCACATTTTTTTAACCCCTCCAGCCACCCAGTAAATATAATGGGAAGGGGAGGGTGTGCATATACTCACAAGACCCGAGAACGTGAAGAGGGTACCTTCCCTGGACAGCCACCTCCTGCCAGAACGGTGGCGCTGTCAGCCTGTAATCACCCCTCCTAAAAAGGACTTGTAAACTCAAATCAGGTAAACTCAAATCAGGTGTAGCTAATCACCTTCTCAATGGCACACACAGCCATTTGACTTTCAACTGTGATCAGATGTGGTAATTTTGATTAGCTCGGCATGAAAAAAAAAAGAGCATTTTAGTGTCTGGTAGTGCAGCTTTATCAATGCCTAGAAGCAAAGAGAAGTCTATTATTATGAAGTGGAAGGTATTTGGTACAACACAGACCCTCCCTGGATCAGGATGTCGCTCCAAGCTGGATGAAAGAGCCAGGAGTTAACTGGTGAGAGAGGCTACCAAGAGGCCTACAGCAACTCTGAAGCAGTTGTAGGAATTTATAACAAAAGAGTGGTCATTGTGTTCATGTGACAACTATATCACAAATTCTCCACATGTGTGGCTTGTATGGGAGGGTTGCAAGAAAAAAGCCTCTCCTCAAGAAAGGCCACATGCAAAACGCACCTTGAAGATTCTGAGGCCACATGGAAAAAGAAGATGTTATGGTCAGAACAGACTAAAATGTAATTGTTTGGCCTCAACACCAAACGATAAGTCTGGCGGAAATCCAATACAGCTTAGCATCCAAATAACACCATTCCTACAGTACAGCATGGAGGTGGTAATATCATGTTATGGGGGTGATTCTCTGCAGCAGGGACTGTAGCACTTGTCAGGATAGAAGGAAAAATGGACGGGGCAAAATACCATCAAATTCTTGAGGAAAATCTGCTGCCTTCTGCCAGAAAGTTGTAAATGGGAAGATTTGCCTTCCAACATGGCAATGACCCAAAGCACACAGCAAAAAAAGACCACTCCGTGGTAAAAGGAAAGAAAAGAATGGCCTATCCAGGGGTAGGCAACCTTGGCTCTTCAGCTGTGCTGAAACTACAGATCCCATCTTGCTTCTGCCTCTGGGAGTCATGCCTGTGGCTTGCAATGCCTTATGGGATTTGTAGTGTCAGCACAGCTGGAGAGCCAAGGTCGCCTACCCCTGGCCTAGTCAGAGCCCAGACTTAAACCCCATTGAAAATCTGAAGAATGACTTGAAGACTTCAGTCCACAAAACGGTCACCATCAAATTTAACGGACCTTGAGCAGTTCTGCAAAGAGGAGTGGGCAAATATTGCAAAGTCTAGATGTGCAAAGTTAGTAGAGACATATCCCAACAGACTAAAGGCTGTAATTAAATCAAAAAAGGTGGTTTAACAAAACATTGACACAAGGAGGTAATCTTTTTTCCAACTCAGTGATTGCGTTTTTGATTTTTTTTTTCTGATGTGTTGGTGTTATATATTTCACTTGGATGTAATAAGTTGCACTGAGTAAATACAGCTGGATAAAACAAAAACGGTGTGTCTTTTCAGGGTGCAAAGCAATAAAATTGTATTTTCTTTTAAAAGGGGAGGGTGATTCTTTTCTATACCCACTGTAGGAACAAGTCACATGGTCATATGTGCCCCTTTGAGGAACACTCACAGGCTGCCCTGGATCCAAGACAGGGCCGTCGCAGCCGAACCCGCACGTAGCTAAAGATCTGCATGCGCTCGATGGCTGAGCTGGGAGGGGGGACGACGACTACAATGATCTATATTATCCAGCCTGTCGCCCCGCCCTGCTGTTGATTGACCGAAGGAAAAAAAATACCCCGCCCCCCCCAAAAAAAGAAAGAAATTAAGGTCCTTACACCTTCACACTAGGCAAAAAATGGAGTTGCCTGTAGCTGCTAGGGGGTTTGGCCACCATCAGGGGCCACCCCTAGGCTGTGCTTTTTTTGTGCCTAGTGTCCTACTCCTGAAGGTGGCGCTATATACATGATGGGAAGGGGGTTTAACACCGCGGATGTCAACTGGTTAAGAGATTCAAGCTCTCCACTGTGTCCTTCAATGAACAAAAGAGACATTTATTTTATAGTATGTTAGTCATCTTTTCTCACTGTATTAGGTTTTCTTAAACAAATATACTTGTGAACCTAAAGCAATGTTGCTTAGTTTGAAATCCAGCCAGTAACAGAGCTTCCCTGGCAAAAAACAAAACCACTGCTTGGCAACTAGCAGCAGCAGCATTGTCAGCCAGCCGTGTGTCCTCCTTCATCTGGCCTATGGGCTGCCTAAAAACAATTTGCAATTTATACTTACTTTCTCCTGTAGCTATAATTTGACAAAACTGATAAAAGCTATTGTAAAGCAGCACTTAATTCACACGCACACATATATGCACATGTTGAGACATACTAGGTACATGAAGTGAAAAGTACACACCGTATATACTGAAAGTAGCAATTTTTATTCGAGTTAAAATTATTTACAAAAAAACCCAAAGACATACTTCATGAAACTGGTACAAACTTGGTTTTTATTTTCCTGCCGTTGGCTTTTGCTCCAAATATCACAGCTGAGAAATACTGTATAAAATAAAAATAAGATTGGATTCAGAAAAGTACTCTACCATTCTAGTCTCCAATGGCTTGTATTTACATAAATATATACAGGAGGGAAGAACAAAAAAAAAAAAAAAAAAAGTTACTTTTGAACTTCAGGTTATTATGCAAGTAGGTTTAAAGTACCCTTAAAGCAGAGTATTTGATGGGGTTTTCAGTATGTACTACAATGAACAAAATGGCTTCCAACTCCACAATACAAATGCAGCATCTTCCACTAGCATCACAGAGCACATCCTATAAAATGGATTCTGTGATATCACAAGCCTATTTTTTATATCTACATTCCCAACACTGCAGGTGGGACTGTGTCCTGATAAAAGCCACCAGTGACAGGAGGAATAAAAACTGCATTTAGTCTGTATCTAAAAACACCTTGTCGGCAACTGTCCACCTCAAATCCCCAATGGGATGCACCAAAAACTTTGCAACTAGTATGTCCAGTGTTAAGACCGTGCACCTCTGCTATTTCAGGAAAAACACCTACCCCCACAATTCTCATAACAGAACATAAAAGGAACGGATGAGAACAGACATTTAACAGACCATTGCCTGCTTAGAGTAGCTGATCAATTTCAAGTTAAAACCTTTGAAAAAAGAGCCTGTTAAGTTTACATCTAAGCCATGGAAAGCACAGATCTTAATGTGTCATGTGCTAGATGATTGCAGATCACCCTTTTTTTCTCCCAGGCCTCTAGTTAGCAGGGAGGCCCATAAATCTGGATCCGCTCTCTGAAAAGGACGACAATAAAACACACAGTGGCTACAGTCCCATTCCAAGATGGGGATATTTAGCTAAATGGCTCCACAGCCTGCATATCGCCTTCTCTCAGGCAATGTGCAAAGAACTCCACAGATTAGGTGAAAACCGGTAGTCTCCAACAGGTAAAAACCACTGAAAAGGTTGTTAAATGTACTCATTTTCTGAAACAAATCTCGACCCTGTAATGAGATTTAGGTTTCCATCATTTTTAGAATGCTTCATTTTTTGTGAGCTAAAAAATAAAGTTATAAACACATTCACAAGTTACAGTAACGCAACAGTCAATGAACAAGTCTGGCACCCCGTCACATAAGAATAAGACTTCGCTATATAATTCTGTATTGTCTGCAGCATTCATACAACTGAGCTTCAGTGGCTGGAAAAGGTGTAAAAACCCCAGTTGCCATTATAGAGCCACATCAGCCTACCATAAGTTTATTGTCAATCAGATACTTGCTAAAACTATCACTCTGTTTAAACTAACGGGAGTTCACTTAGCACATTTACTTGTCTTTGTTGTTAAACGGGATTTAGAACATGAAGATTAACTTTGAAATGGGAATTAGTCGTTTTAATGTTTTCTAGATATACAAGTAAAATAGACAGAAGCGCGTAACGTAATTAACTTCATCAATGTGTGCTAATGTTTTAGCAATCATGGTTCTATCTAAAGTTTGCAATTAAACAAGTACATCGGGCAGCCATATTTACAACATTCCCTTATCCGGCTGAAAAGCAGTCTAATCAGGTGTACCTGACTGAATGCAACAGACACTACAGTTTCTAATGACAGGAAAACAAGAATAGTAGCCAGTAAGAACATGGCCATTACTAGGCTTTAGGTTACGTGAAAAGTACTTTGTTTCCCCGCAAACTTCTAATGCAGTTAGGCAATGCTGATATGCACCATACAAATGCACGTGAATTATAAAAAATGTTTATTAGAAGTCTATTTGAACTCAAACTTTTGTAACTTCTCTCATTGCATTGGTACAAACTACAATAACTGCACGTGTCAGCTGGATAGTATCATGTACTCCACACAACCCAGGGAAAAAAATTATAACCATTATTTTTCTATTTTAATAGGACCTCAACCCAACATGAACTTCTCCAATAGAATTTTTAAAATGCAAGGTCAACGTCAATGGGTGCCCACATTCTCCATAGCAGATTATTATACACCTATATAAATCTTAAATGCAAGATAAAATGTATTTAAGACGACTGGAGCCTGCATGTACGAGAATGGTAGCATACAACCAAACATATGTCTAGGAATCCAATATATAACTAGGAATTCAAATTGTGGCACGTCACAGATTTGTTTACTCCATCATACAAGTTTGCACTGACCTTAACTTGACAAAACGTTTTTGCTATAATTATCGCAACTGCAACTTTATATTGCCTTAGGAGGAAAAAACGAATTTTCAAACACAACTTAGAAGTAATACTTTCAATAAACTGTATATGTCCAATATACATACATCAGCAATCAAGGTTAACACCAACAGAAACAGAAGGCATTGTACTTGGGTTAGAGAACTGCTTTAAATCCCTCATTTTAGAAGAGGTCCAGATAACCCAGTTAAAGAATAAGTGCAATTTTAACATACCCAAGTTTCTAAAGCGTACCTTTTAATTGATAAAACTCTGTGCCATTAAGCTCCCACTGACAGACAACCATGAGTAGAAGTTCTTCTAGGGTGCATCAAAGAAGGCCTTCTAACTAGAAAACACCAAATGCAACCATTTCCATTCTGAGTCCCCATATATCTAGGGATATGCATGCTATAGAACAGGGGTAGCCAAACTCCGGCCCTCCAGCTGAGGTGGAACTACTAATCTTATGAGGCATTGCAAGATTCTCAAAGCCACAGACATGACTCCCAGAGAGATGGATCATGGGATTTGTAGTTTCACCACAGCTGGAGGGCAGGTGTTTGGCTACCCGTTAGAGAAACTGGAATCCAAGTGCTATGAAAGCTCTCAAAGCTAGACAATGTATGCAGCAGTCAAGCTTACCAAGTTGCATGGTTGTGTAAAGAAGGTACCTATACATCTGAGCTGACAATCTGATTGTGTTATGTGGTACATTCTAAAGCAGGGGTAGGCAACCTTGGCACTCCAGCTCTGCTGAAACTACATATCCCATTACGCCTTTGAAAGCCACAGGCATGGCTCACAGAGCCAATCTTGCAGTGCTGAGGTTGCCTACCCCTGTTCTAGAGCATTATACCAGTCAGTCACGTAGAGATAAATGTAATATATTTGTGCTTCGGCTTTTAGGCCAAGACATTTGCAAGCAAAGCAAGTTTGCAAATAACCTTTCTACCTTGGTCCTGTTTCGAGGAAGCTCTGCTGTAAATCATCAAATCTCTCAATTTAAATTTCCTGCCTTATGTCTGTGAGCAAGCTAGCTTGCCCAAAGTGCAATAGAACGTTACAGAAATGCAGGCTCTCAATAAAGGAAGAAAAAGCTTGCTGGAATGGTGTAGTTATACTAAACACTGGAAATGTAATCTCTACCGTAAGACACCTGCATCAACTCATATGCTACCTTTTCAAATGGTTACTATATGATCAAGGGCTGTTAATTTGAATATATAGTAATTAAAAAGCACTTATTCTTCAACTACATTGCACAGGGCATGCCAACTATGCTATAGCATGGCTTTAAAGCAGGATCTCCGACAACCCTTATACAGCTTTACATACAACTCCCAAAGTGAAACTGGGAATGCCAATCTCAAAAAGTAATCAGTGGAAAAACTACCAATATAGTGCTATCAACTAGACTTCTAAACCCTGTGTTATGGTCTACTAGTTACCAGTTAGTGCAGAACCTGAGGGATACCCAATTGTAATTTCTCAATTTACTCTTGTGGTGTTTGCTCCAAATTAAATTAAAACACAAAGGCAAATTGCAATTATGATGGCCACAAACAAAACCAAATTGTACAAAGGTCTTCAGATTTACAAACTGTGGGGAGCAACAGCTTACCTACTTGTGTATAAAATGAATGAATTGTTTTAATGGGCTCTCACACTATAAATACTTGTTAGAATTATAATCATACTGTAATGTATGTAACCAGCTTGAGCTAGTGGTGCTTGATAGATATTTAAGATAATGGAATATGATAACCAATATGCTCACAAGTATCCTATAAAACGCATTAAATACCACAAGCAGCTCCAGGCAGAAGCCCAATTTGCACAAACAAAAACAGGAACTGTGCGCTTTAATATACGAACATTCAAGTATTGTCAAGGACAAACTAGACATAACACCAGCAAAACCATTCAAGCTCAGGAACTGCTAAAAGTTCAGCTATTCGCACCTCTGCAATGTAAGCCTACACAGGATGCTGAAATAACCTAACTTTAAAAGGCATCTTTATGGAACTGGAGGGGGTGAGGGGTAACCAATTTGTTTAAAGAGACAATACATAGAAAAAAAAATGGGTGTCAAGACATTTCCATGTATTTACGCCAACGCTAAAATCTAAATAGATAACCAGTAAGTCTCCGGATAGCAAGCAAACTTAACATGCAAAGTGATTTCTTTACTTCCATCTTTGGGATTGCCGCTAGCCGACGTCACATGAGCCTAATTCTTTTAAGTCAAGTCAGTTGCACAGGAAATCTGTTAAGTGGGGCCTCAGTCACTAATGCTTATTGATAATCACAGGGGAAAATAGGCTTCAGTTTTGTTTCTTATCAAATGCTGAACTGTGGGTAATCCAACTATGTGCGTCGGGATTAAGAGCACTGTGTCTCATTTATGTTTTAAAAGGGTTGTCTACCTTCAAATGGAGCACTCCACTTACTGAGAAATGGTCGGCAGGGGATAAGTTCCTCATAGCTGATTTTCAATCTTAAATGGGAAAGCTACAGGGATATTAGGAGTGCTTGCAGCTGTCCAGTCATTTCCTGCAAGACGCAGGGCCATAAACATTGTTTTTCCACAAGTTAGCAGTTGACATTGAAAGCAGGGGATCAACCTCAGTACTCCGTATGAGGAGTGGTTTTCATGCTCTACATTGAAGTCAGTTAACTAAAAACAGGTATATATATTGTTTTTTATAAAATGAGACCCAGTACTCATGGCGTCATCATGTATGAATCCAAACCGAATAAATAAAGGTTACTTGCAAAATGTCCAAAATCAATGTGGTTTGCCTAGGATTTAAACTGCACAATGATCTGTATATAAAAGAGAACAAATAAAAACCAACGTAAAGATAAAGTCACTCTTTGGAAAGTTAGTTTTACCTTTTCACATTTCTCAATGTGAAACAGACAACCTTCATATATGCCCACCCCACCCCCTTTGCTATCAAAATTGTACAGATTACAAGTGCAAAATTAGTAGATCTAGAAAGAATTTTCAAAACTGAATATATTTTATTAACATTTTCACATAAATATTGCTAAGAACCTCAACTATTTTTTTATTTTTTATTTTTTTTTACAAAAAGCCAAACTACCTACAGCATTTCTCCACCTTCCTTGAACATTTTCTATGCAGGCAGAGATGCAGATTGGGTGCTGATCACCTATATGGCTTTATTAAGATCTTCTTGGTAGACAGTAATGTTCCGTTATGGTGAATGTCCAATGCACCCTTGAAGAGAAAGTCTCAGGTGCATACAAAGAAAACAGCAATAAGTGCACAGGTCTAAACACCAGAATATGCCTTGAGCTAAAGTTTTTCATCTCAGAATATTCCCCAGCTTCAAAGAAAACTCTCAATGGAGAACTCATGAAGGGTCTACACTAATGCTGCTCATGTCTGACACTTGTTTTAATGTTCTTGTAAAAAGTACCCGCTGATCTCATATGCCAATTAAAAGCCCTAAAACAGGTAATGTCAACCTAAAACCTCCACTTCGGCAAAGGTTACAAGAGACTAAATGTTAAAATACAAAGCCTGCTGAAGGCATGTTCCTCCATGCCACACAAGACACTGCGAGTGGCAAAAAAGCATTAAGGTAGATGAACTCCTCAAAAGTCAACTAAGGGCACATCCCTTTTCATTTACATTAGTCCAAGATGACACCTGAGATGGACCACCAGAAATATAAAAATAGATCCCTATTTACTAATTGGGCACATAATGTACAACAGAGCTATTGACAAAAGCACTTCCAATTGTATCAGTGCTCTGGCACACTTTAAAACCAGGGTCTACCAGCCTGCATTTTGGAATTTGGTGCAGCAAAGCTCTACAAATTTCACAACATAATTACATAAAAGGTATCAATAAGTCTTAAATTAACAAAAAGGAAATAAGGAAGGGTGCATATACAGAAAATACATTTCAAGAACAACTTATGATTGGAGCAATCTAGAAAGAAAAAAAATGGAGTAGCTGAGGAAGAAAACGATCAACAGACATTATCTCTTGAACTTTTGGAAGCATTGAAAGCCTATTAAGAAAGCAGGAAGATGAGGGGGTAGGGGAAAAGAAAACACAAAAAGCAGCTTGTTGTCCAGATGTTTTGTTAGAATTCACCCCAATTGGGCTGTCTTTGTACCTGGCTGGCATAGAACGCAGTAATCGATAGTAAACAGCATTTGCATGAACGCAGCAATTTTCCATCAATTTTATATATATATTTTTCCCTTTAACTGACCGTAACCAAAACTACTAGAGGAAATGCGCAATGAAAACCCCATCGAATTCTACGAACGTAAAAGAACCGAAATACTGCAATGATTAAAACAGCCAGGTCACTTATTCATCTACAGAATCTCTGGTCCTTGGAATTAAAAGCTGCTGTATGCTCAGCTAAAACCTGGTTGTTGTGGCAAACGTATGCTCAATTAACTACAAAATCAGAGTCCGATTTGCAATTTCCATGTAAGTAGCACATCATCTGCACTCAGTGCATCTTCAGGATTTTTTTTTTTTTTTTAACATGAGTTGAATATCCAGCATGTATAAAAGACTGTTAATAATGATGCATTCTAGCAGTGTTCCAAATATTCAATGACTCTTGAGATGGACTTCTGGCCTGTTGTTCCCACTGCACACTGTAAAACAAAGAAATGGCACATATAAGCTCCTGCATTGCAAGTGGAGAAAAACAAACATTCCATCACTATTGCAAGCTTCCCCATGACATGCAAGAATGAACAAGAGAAATGAGGTAGTAAAAAACGAATACCTGTTTTAAGTATACAGAAATGGGTAGAAGGTCCTAGGAAGATTTTAAGCGACCCTGTTGAGGGGTTTCCACGCGTTCTGTGGTGTGGAAGAGCATTCTCTGCTGGTCATAGTGGTTTCTACAGATATCCCCCAACACCATTATTGCATTCTGCAGTGACTATACGTTAGCAGGAGGACCAGAGCTGCCCTTGAGGGGGACTCGCTCTTTGACACACCAGAAAAGCCAATTGAATCGATGCCATGATCTCTGCTACAAAGTAAAGTTTCAGCAAACTGGCAACCAGATAGATGAAAATAAAGCAGTTATAACAGGGCACTGCTGGTGGCTTTTTTTTTTTAAACATCTGGACAGGGTCAATTTTTATGTTCACAGTGACCTATAAACAGCAACATATTTCACTACAATTCATTGGCAAGTTTAAAATGTATGAACAATGTCTGGACTTTTTGTTCTAGTGGCTGGTTCAAGTACAATGGATTGCACAGGTGGTCACAGAGTCTGGCATGCTTCATAATGACTGTACAATTGTACCAATTTGACGCAACAAAAGAAATAGTGGATGTAGGCAATACATTTTGATAGTTCCGCCACTAAGCTCCTTCCTGTGACAACTTAACCAACATCATTTTTTTTTAATTTTACCACACCATTAGGTCAAGCAGCACAAAGTATGTGTGTGTTGTGGTGTGTGGGTGTGTTGTGGTGTGTGGGTGTGTTGTGTGTGTGGTGTGTGTGTGTGGTGTGTGTGTGTGTGGTGTGTGTGTGGTGTGTGTAATCAATAACCAACCAAAATCTTATTGCACTATTGATAAAGATAAATCTATCAATAGCGAAATAAAAATTTAAGTATTGATTTGTTTATTATGTAATTCGATATATATTGTTGAGAATATCTTTAAAGTAGCTTTTTTTTTTGTTTTTAAACCTTCATTATTTGGGTTAGCCAGGTTGAGTGCAGACTTCACTTGTCAAGCTGCTAGTATAACTATAGACATTTTTTTTTGCATTCCCTTGGCACGTATTTGGTTAGTGATATGAGGTGTAATAGAGATGACCAGAGGTGTAGAGGAAGGCAAAAGCACCACTAAAAAGGGACTTAAATGACCCAAGTTTAAAATGTGACACTGACTGGGCCGGTTTACCACCAGCAGATATTCTGTTCTTGCCCTTTAAACACTATACTGGTATTTAAATTTAGACTGAAGTGGTACCATTACCAGGTGCATTACAAAAACACAGCTCCTCTGAGTTTAGCTACATACTATACCGTATACAATGCATTTTGCAAGGACTGAACTGTACACTGAAGGATAATGGGTGGCTTGTAGCAAAAGGCAGTGATGGCTGTTCCTGTCAAACCCAAGTTTGCCAACAATATTAAATATCAAATGGTAGATGTGGACTTGGGAGCCAATTCTGCCAGGTTGAGAGGGAGCCAATACAGTCAAGTTCGGAAGAGTCTAAAGCTTTCAAAGGCTTACTTTGGGCCACCCACTGTAAGAATTCCAGGCCGATCCCTATAATTCAGCCTATAGCTAGCCTTAGGCTACAGACAGTGGATAAGTCATGTTATGGCCCTATACATGATAGTATTTCAGAATTTCAACATATAAAAAAAAAAAAGACAAGTTAACATAACACAACATATAAAAGCTGTACATTTTCAAGGCAAAGGAAATATTTTTCTTTAAGGAGTAAGTTATTAAAATAATCTTTAGCAGCACATTTGCTATAAAATTATAGATGACTCCTCTGCTATTTGAGCCATTACGGTGGGAGCAGTCAAAGCAGGAAAAGCAGCTATAAATCCACTTATAAGGTTGCTGACTTGCGGCCTATAATTACTCAGTGGAACTGTGCTAGCCTGTCATTTCCTCAATCCATGCTAAGAATTCTGCTTTGTCTCAATTTATATTTGCTGTAGTCTATGATTAATATTGTTTATGAGATATAAATTCAATGCCCTAAATCTGCCTTGCAGGTTGATACATTTTTACACAACTAGCATAAATGTTATGTTTGAAATTAAATAAGTACACAAAAAGGTGTTCAAAGATACGACGGTGACATTTAAAAAAAGTAACTTACGGTAAGGTTCATAAAACTAAGAAACTTTTGAAGCATTTCAGTCATTATTGAAAAATCTCCATTTGGTAGATGGTTCCGAACAGTAGTCACATTACTCTTCTTTTTAAGTGGGAGAACTTGCACAATTGGTGGCTGACTAAATACTTTTTTGCCCCACTGTATCTATATGTAGATATATAGATATAGCACGGGAGGATGCTAGTACATGTCCTCCCGTGACCCTTAAGAGAACTTTGGGGAAAAACACTTACCCCATAGTTCTCTTTTAACTAAGTCTCAAGGTGAGTGCCCCTTGCAGGATCCAGTGCGTTAAACACATAACAGGCCAGCCCGCATCTTCCTTCTAGTAGGGTCCGGGTATTGTCTCTGCCAAAGCTCAGCCAAGGAGAAAACCAAGCCTCAGGGTCTGTAAGTAGCTTAGGGAAAACTAGAATAGCCTTGAGCACAAAAGATGCACTTTACGTAGAGCAAAGAGAATGTCTTCCTTAACCTAAAGACACTGGTGAAAAACGGAGGCAGGCTGGAAGTTGGAGGGGTAATATAGGGCTGTCCTTACAGCTTTGATATATCAGGGTCCAATCACCTGATGGTCACTGCATTACTCACATCAGCAAATTAGGAGATATCTATTAATATTTACCACCAAATGACAGCCCAATCTGTCATGAGAATGACCAGTTATAATTTACCTAGATACACTTAGTTGCAAAGATGTGTACAATTTTACTAACATTTGCCTTGCTTGCAAAACTGGGTTCAGGTGTCAAGTTGTTAGGGGTATCTTTTTGTAAGCGGATAACTTCCTGTGCTCTCTGCCATAACCCCAAAGGGTCATGGAGATTGGAAAATGGGGGTGGAGGGGAGAGAGATGAGGAAACTTCTGTTCTTTGTAAAGCATCAGAAATGAAGCAGACAGGGCTGGCACCACATGCTTAGGATTTCAGAGCTGAAAATCCACTATGGGGAATTTAGGAGCTGGGACAGAATCTGGAGCAGTTGCCCATGGCAACCAATCAGCATCTCTCTTCTGTTTGCTCAGGTAAGATTTGAAAATGAGAGAGAAGCTGATTAGTTGCCATGCACAGCTGCTCCAGTTTTGATCAATTCCCCCCAATGTGCTGTCATGTCAAACAGTAAGGTTGGTGCACACTATATTTCCGGCACACCAACAGTAATTTTGTTCTATGTTTGCAGTGTGTTTAAAAGGATAAAACATAGGGAAATGTGCATTTATTCCTGAAATGTGCATTTATTCCTGAAATGTGCTTCATTTATTTTTTGCCTCTGGTACTCTTTGATGGTGTGAGCACCTAGCAGACAGAAATCATGTCATGTATGGCTACACTAAGACAGATAATAAAGTAGTGTTTTATTATAGTAAAGAAAGAAGTACCCTTTTTCACTAATAAAAATGTAATCTGGTAATGCGGATGTGTGTTCTGTTGATTCTCATGAGTTATTTTTGTATTTGACAGATCCACTTTTAGCTAAAGAAGCAAACATCCAAACTGCTCAATATTTCTGCAGCAGGATAAGAAGCAACCCTGGCCAAGGAAGGTTTACAATTTCAGTAGCAGCCTGAACAATTCCCTTTCCCAGCCTTCATCCATCTATTCAGTATCAAACAATTAGGACTGACCTACATTTACCTGGCTGAACAGAATTAGGATAATAAAAAATGAATGTTCTATCTAGGTTGCCATTTCCTTTTAAACACAATACTTCTTATTCTGGACTCCTTTCTTTTAATGTAATATCTCTGATGACCACTTGAGGAATACTTATTTTTCTATAGTAAATTTAGATAGTAATGATGATGCACTTACAGATAGATGCTTCTTAAAATGAACCAGCAAGCCCTTTATCAGTTCTTTGCAGAGACCTAGCATATGACACTTGCTTGCACTTCAAGGTACATGCAGCTTGAATTTACAGACTGCATTCAGAGGGGATGTGGCCAGCAAGAAAGAGCTCCTGACTGCCCAGCTTCAGTATTCCAACAAAGCAGTACCGAAGAGCATCAGAGGTGTGGGACCTGTGTCTTTCAATGGACTCCAAAACAAGGATTTTACAGCAAGCATTAAATCTTTCACGTTCAGGGAGGGGCACAGGAAGTCTTATACCTGTCAGGAGATTCAAAGGCAGTTTAACTGAGGGCAAAAGCAAACAGAACACTAACAGGTCCGTGAAAAAAAAACACCAACAAACTGGGGATTGTCTGCAGCTCAAAGAGTGGCCTGAAAAAGACTACGTCCAAAGCTGGCATCAGATAGGGCCTAAACATCCAACTGGTAAAACTTTTGAGATCGTGTGAACAGAAGGTAAGGTGGCAAATGTGCAAATCTGTAGCCCGATGCTGAAGAGCCCATGAGGCACTTACAGAGCTAGTGTGCATCTAGACACGATAGAGTGGACCCCGATCCCTAAGACTATACTCTTAAATGGTGATTTGTTTGAGGCAAGAAATTGTGTTATGAGAAGCTGGTTTCCCTTTACAGGGAGCATCTGGTAAGATAAAGAGTCAGTCGTTCTGAAGAAAGCAGTGGGTGCTAAATAAACACTCACAGCAGAAACTACTGCAGGTTGTCCAAGTGTCCATAAAGGCCAATAAATGTCCCCCACTTCAGAAAGGCAAATTTTATCAGGGGGTTGATAGGTTGAGGGTGGCCAGGGAGACAGACTTGGGTTTGCTTTGAGAAGTTGATGCCTGGTAGTGACGAAAAGATATCTTCTTGGCCTTAAACGAGGCGTGAGTCTGAGCCCTAAGCATGTTTTACTGAGTAAAATCGGTACTCTTGCCACTGGCGAAATCCAAGGGAGGCCTGAAAAGATGCTGTAAAAATGTAAGCATGCACTTCTTGCAGGCAGGCTTCACAGACCAAGGATTGCATCCTCATGTTCATTGACAGGAGACATGTACAATCTAATTTCCAAACACTCTGACCAAGGAGATCAGAGCTTGACAGATTAAGACAGGATGCAATGCAGGGCCTGCCAGGGAAAAAAGTTCTAATAAGGGGCCCTAGCTGTGAGGTTCTTTTTTAAAGTCATCATGCACATGGGGGGGGAGGGGGGGTCAAGTATTCTGAGCTGGCCCACAATTTTGTTTGCATGTCCAATCCTACTGTAGGCAGCAGTATAACCTGACAGTCTCTGAATTCCTGTGCCCCTCAAATCAATAAAAAGAATTAATGCACTGCTTAATACATAGCTGCATTCATTTGTCTCTTTCATATCTGCCTCAGGTTCAGCTTATATTGTCTAAACACAGCCTTCATTATTAGATTAGGCACTTAGGAATGCTCTTCGGCTGAAATTTTTATGACTCATTCCAGTCATTGGCCACTTAGGATAAAAGAACCAAATTTATCTTTAAGTGCCCAGCAACCTGAAACATTTCCCTAGAAGAGCAGGATATTATTTTTTTTCTAGAAGTACATTAACATTATGATTCGCATTTCAAATTGTACTTACTGGACTCTCCTGGCAGAGACATCCTAGAAGCAGAGCTGTGTATGAGGCGACAATGCAATCTTCCATGTGCTTCCCAGCATGCTGGAGAGCTAGAAACAGCAACAAATTGTTTTCTCTTAATACACTTACATGGAAGTCAAATCAACATACATTTGGCTATTAAAATGCACTGGAGCAGTTTTAAATCCTTGTATAATACAAAAGTATACTATATCAAAATATATCAAATTATGATGTGCTCTGGGGTTGTTCATTGCTGAACAAATGCCAAATACATCAGAAACATTATAGCATGTAAAAAGTTATTTTCATCTGGTATTTAGGAAAAGCTTCAGAAATACCTATACTAATGCATTAGCAATTCTCAGCAGAGAAGTGCCAATTAAGGATAAACACGAGAATGTGAAGCCTGATATTTGCCCATGCAAGGTTACTAACCCGGAACAAGCATGAAAATACTTGTTTCTAACTCATTTGTTGCATGCTTGTTCCGAGCCTCAGAAGAATGTAAACTATGCATAGCTAGACAACAAGCATGACAGGTTTATTTGAAGTGAACCTGTCTAGAAAGTTTATATAATTCAGCAGGTCCACAACTGTAAAATAGCTATTTGTTATAATCTCAGGTCTTCATTCTTACAGTATTTCAATAGGGTATGTTTGATGAGGTATAGCCAATTGTCCCAATCTCTGGTATTCTCTTCCTCTGAAAATCATCTGGAAGCCATCAAGGCTGTGTTATCACCTGACTGAACTCCGCACTGATAACAGATCCTCTCTGGGCTGCTACAACACACAGATGATTTCACAGAATAATCACATAAAGGAGATGAAGACTATGGAAAAGTAAAGCTGCTTGTTGATCTCATGGATTGCTCCTGTGGCAGACCTGAGAATCTGTTAAGGCAGGATTACTAAAGGAGTTTAAGGAAAACTGTACAGCCTGCTTACATTTGGAGAGTAAAAATCAAGTGAGGGCGAGTGGAAATTTGGGTCTCCAAGTACCGGTCTGCCAGCTGACATGTCAGGCACGCAATCGCAGACCACGTACCTGACTTGCCGGAGCAGCTCCACGGTATGCACCTGTGTCGGATGCACACCGCAGAGCAGCTTCTGCCAGCTCCGGCTTCCTTCGGCCGGAGCTCTGAGTTCCGAGCCGAAAGAAAAGGTTGTATTAGTGAGCTCCTCACTAGATCACCAGGGATCGATCCTTCTCACAGCCTCCTCCCTGCAAAAGACGTGAACAGGTGAGGGGGCTCGCAGGAGGTGTATTATTATTGTGTGTGTGTGTGTGTGTGTGTGTG